TCCGTCCGGGTGGTATAAAAATTTTTCACGTATTGGCCAGACGACGCTGGGCCATACGACGTCAGGCTTATTTTCCTGTGGGCTGATTGGTCTAATTCAATGGATGTGATCTGTCTGGTGGCGTGCGGCTGATAATGTTACAGTCAAGAAGTGCTGTAGGCTACGTTCTTCAGGGAAGGAATCATGATAGTCCATTCGAAGCAAGGCATTGGTGGTCTCCGACAGGCGTCCCCTACTGCGCACAGTTACCCAGTCTGATACGGTTCCCTGACACGTTGTCTTCTGCCTACTAGGAAATTCCTGATCCATTGGAGTACATTTCCTTCTACTCCCAAAGAATTCAGTTTACGTAACAGTCGCTCATGCGGAACACTATCAAATGCCATGGCAAAATCGAGGTACAGTGCATCCACTGGCTCCCTTTCATCCAGCAGGCGAGTCCAATTATTCAAGGTAGACAGGAGATTAGTGGTGACGGTAGTTACCGGGGTTACTTTTGTCACCTTTTTTGAACAGGGGTGTCACTTGGGCTTCTTTCCAGTCGGCCGGCAAAGTCCCTTCGATTAAGGTTTTTCGAAAGAATACTGTTAAAGGGCCGGCCAGGACGGTTGCTAACTTGCTAATTCGTTGAGTAATCTATTGTGGAAACCGTCTGATCCAGATGACTTGTTGGGATTCAGGGAGACCAAGCGCTTGAGAATCTCTTCTTCAAGTATCTCAAAACTAATTAACTTGGGGCCCACTGGTCGCTCCTCAATAGCTGGAATACTGTTTAAGTCCTCATCTGTGAAGACGCTGCTAAAGAACAGATTTAGGACATTGGCCTTGCTCTCCTCAGAAGATATCTTCCGTTGATTTACATTCAAATCAGCAATACCGTCCCTTGTCTTACACTTCGAACTAGCATACCAAGAAGAAGGCTTTTGGGTACTTTTTCGAATTTTTGGCAACGTCTTTTTCAAAATTTTTGACTGCGGTGCGACAAGCTTTTATAGCTTGATTTCGAGCTCTTGCATACAGGTTATACTCAGCATCGCTACGAGTTCGTAAATAACGCTTGTAGGCTTCCTTCTTAGCCTTTAGCTTTGCTTTAACCGTATTGTTCATCCACTGTGTTTTTCTGACTCCACCGAGTTTTATCTTAGGTACACACGCATCAACTGCAGACATAGCCATGTTCTTGATGAATGACCACGACTCCGCCCCATTCATGTTAATAATACAGTCCGAAATGTTCGCTGCACTCACTGATTCACGAAGTTTAACATAGTCGCCTTTCGCAAAGTTGAAACGTTCACGCTTCCGAGGCGTCTTTTCTGTATAGCTCTTAATACTGAAAAACAATGACTGGTGGTGACTTTTGCCCAACGGAGCCTCGTGGCGAAGCTCTTCTACCATTGATTTTTCACTAGTAAACACTAGGTCTAGAGTATTTGGAGTCTGCTTACCTCTAAAATGGGTTGGTTGGCTTTGTGATGTGCTGGTATAAAATGAGTCTCTCACAGACTCCATGAACAAGGATGAAGGGTGATTCTCATCCCTTGGAGAGGATTCATGTGCCCAGTCTATTTCTGGATGGTTAAAATCACCAACGATTAACGTATGCGACCTGATGAAAGTCATGCTTGGTAGAAGACTGTTCAGTACTTTATCGTTATCAGAGGAACTGTTGGGTGATCTATACAGGACACCTATTAGGAGGCTATCCCTGCTTTTTAGAGAAAGCTCACACCACACTGATTCTCTAGCTGATTAGTGCTCTGCTGATAACTTAACTTGTTGGGCCCCATAAAAAATTCTAACCCAATGAGCTACACCTCTACTACACTGCTCTAGGTTTAAATTATGAAAGCAATCAAAACCTGGCAACTGGAATTCAACTGGTAAAAATTTCCCCCCGTGATTTTTAGGGATTGTCTCTGTAATACAAATAATGTCTATACACGCGTTTCCGATCACAGTTAACAGTTCATTTCTTTTGTTCAAAACGGAATAAGAGTTCGTGTAGAAACATTTCAAAACTTTTTCTGCACATCCATTTTGATGTATGAGTAAACTTTTTACCTTATTTACACAACTGGATTTGTACTACTGGATTTATATACATGATTTCCACTATTTAATTGTCTTCCATCTCCCCTGACGGTCGGCGAGCGGTCGGAGTCCTCGTGAGATCTTGAATGTTGTTGACATGATTTTCTGTGCTTCTGCGTCTGTTTCACTCCTGCCATTTATTGCGGAAATCCGCCCTCTCTAAAGGGGTGGAATCCTACTTAACAAAAACAGACTTGCATTCAACAGTTTCTCATAACTTTTTCGCTGCTTTCAGCACGCTCCAAACCTGGTCCGGATCCTTTAGAGTCACTAATAGAGGTTTGCAGGCGTTAACAGCAGCATTCTTGGAGTGCAACCTCTTGCACGATGCAATATCAACCGGTGTGCTTAGTGCTTTACTACAACAGTCTGCCACATACTTATTGTCGGCCATCACTCGTTCGTTGGTCTCAGATGCCGTGCTTTCGAGAATGCCGAACCAAACAAGGTTGCACTTCCTACGTTCTCTGTCTACTAATTCGCGGGAGCTTTCGCTAGCAATTTCGGCTATGTCAACGTTGTGTTTCTTCAATTCCATCTTTTCCAAATTTTCTGTATTTTTTCGTTGAGTTCTCCCTTCGATCAGCTCTTTGCGCAACGAGCTCAGTTCATTACTCAAAGAGCCAACTAAATTACCCAATGTGCTCATCTCTTTCCGATAATTGTTTTCCATTTCAGCTCGAAATGCTGCGAACAGAACGAACCACTTCTCTTCCATCTGCTTCTCGCTTTTCCTGGCACTGAGAGTCGGTTTCTCGCAGTCGCTACGGAACCAGTGAAACGACTCTGTTTTCAGTAGAAAAGAATATTCTTCAGAGCTCAGCTTCGCGCAACTGATGCAAATGAAATCCTCGCAGTGTTCACAGATGACCATCTGATCATCTTCTCTCAACGAGGTGTCTTTGCAGAACTTGCAAGCATCTTCTACTACGCATTGCGATCTTCTGTTCGATTTTTTCGGTGCATTTTTCGAAGAACAGCATTCCTTCTTAACAATCTTGTTTACTTTCTTCCCAGCCATCGAAACATCTTCTTTCTTAATTGTTTAATGATTTCTGGGTTCCTTAACAGAGACTTCACATTAAAGACAACATTTCGCAGTCCAGCTCCATCGCCAGTTTGAAAATTATAGAACACAGGTTAATCAGTAACTAGTACAGTCAAGATTACAAAAAGGCCTAAACTGTAAAACTTATCTATTTACAACTACAAGTGGGTAAGAGCTAAAAGCTGAATTTAAACTAGGATTATGTTTAAAAATATACAATGATTCTAAAATGCGCAAATCGAAAACACCGAAAGTTGAAGCTAAAACCTTGAAATCACTATCAGAAAATGGAACATCGCACTGCTCGGCGTGAGCGCGCACAGCCGTATGGGGAGAGGGCGATGGTAAGTGACCAGTTCTACAACTCCTCCCCCTGTGCTCTGCGAGTCTAGATTAAAGATTGCGAGACGTATCCCTGACGTATGCAGATGCACATCGTGCACAACTATATTTATAAACTAGAGACGCTCGTATATGCATAGGGAGGGATCTTTGTACTTAAAAAATAACCGATTTTAAAATTGTTCACCAATAAAACACGAATATTATCATTTGGGAAGTACTTCGAGAACATAAGTTTCAGCTCTCATGACATAGTTTCGCATGCATGACCGAAGTATACAAGAGCGTAATAAATAACATTCCTAGTTGTTTATTACTCTCTCATTTTTATTCCCTCAGATGACTCGGCTAATGCGCTAGAACGAACTAATAATGTACGACTAGAATGAAATATGTGGCGTACGACTAGAATTAAAATAATTTACGACTAGAATGAAATATGTGGCGAAAATTTTGCGATTAAATTTTGTGGAAAGTCACGCAAAAATAACTGTTCTATCTTATGACGGGGCTATACGTATTTGCTGTGAATTATTTTCTCATTGAATTAAATTTAGTAAATGTTTTATAGTTTTTGTCCGACAAATGACTTAGACGAGTTATTGCATCAGATGACTTTAGGAGGTAATTATGCACAACTCGATGGTGGGAGCTCTGATATTACGACGCATGGAATATTGGGATGATGACGTAAATGATGACGCAATTGATGACCAGAACTCGTGAGCGCGGACAAATTTTCTAACAGAATGCAGATCGTTTTACGCTCCACTTCACAGAAGGAGTTATTAATTTACATATTGTCATCGCAGCTTCTGCTTCTGAATGAGGAAGGTTAAATAACTTGCACTTTTGAGCCTGCAATATAAACCCCTTAATAAATTATTAGCGATGCCCACTAACTTCATGACGGTATAAATAATTTGTGACCTGTCGTACAAGAAAAACTTGAGTACAGAGCCCCGTAACTGTAGGGTAACCAAACATGAATTTGATTCTAATAATTGAATTGATTTATTTCAATTTATTTACACATTTCATATCATTCACCTATGGTGGCCCAATTAAATATCATCTGAATGAAATTCATCAAGACAATAAACCAGGTAAAAATTGGTTAGGAGAATATATATAATCAATTGTAATAATGGTTTTAGGATAATAAATATTGTTCTTAACTATTACCATTAACCGAATAATAAATTTATGGCAATATTAAATTTTAATAATTCAAGAAATGAATTTTAAAACATTTTGCTTGTATAAAAAAAATTTCGAAAAAATATCATGGCAAATGCAGGAACTAAAGTTTCCAAAATCAAATGAATGGAGAGCATTCTGTCCTTTAGAATTCTACCTCGTATATTTAGAGCTACAAAATAGATGTTGCTTATGCACGCATGTGTGCACAGTCCATCATTAATCACGGCCCCTGATGAATTTCTTAACACCTGTCCCAACAAATCCAAAGCCTATAACATGGCCACCACATGCCCACAATGCGTCAGGACCAAGTAGTATTTGCCTGCCTACACACAACTGCCAACCGCACCGCTGCCACGACCTGCCACCGCACCGCTGTCACGACCACAGCCAAAAGATGACGCGAGCTCTGATGCTTCTCATCGTAGCCGCCGCAGTCTCGTCCGCGGCGTAAGTACTTCGCTTACAAACTAAATAGACGATGTGATATTGGCAAGAGCTGTGAAGATAAATATTATTTTCATATACGACGGAATTTTTGTGATGTTCTATATGATTTAAATAAACGATTTGAATGGAAGAGGACCCATGTTTTTGAGTAATGAGCTACGATTTTGCTGCTCCAATATAACGCTAACTAATCATTCAAGAACAATATTTACAACACATGCATTTATTACTTCCTAACTCCTGAATTTCTTAACTTTGATGGAGGCAACGTTAACATTGAATTCTTTATTTTATGTTGTCTAACGAGAAAATTCGGAAGTGTAAAACTGTATTCAGGCGTTATTTGGAAGTATCATATCATCTAGTGTTTGAGGAATTTTCAAACGTTGAATACATTTCAATGGAGAAGGCTATTGTTGATTTTTTTACGCAAAAATACTTATTGTGTAAATTTTACAGAGGTTTATCAAACGCTTGCATCGTTGCGTTCTGGTTGCGATTAAATGATCTCAGGGCCGCCATCAACACCTGCTTGCTGCAGTACCAATCGGAGATGGAGAAGTCTGTTTCAAGTGAGTGCACAAATAGAGTAATTTCGCATTAATTTGTTTCCTGATGGCAACCAATATTTTTACCTGAAATACAGAAGAAGCAACCACCTTGTCTGGGTGGGAGTTCGTTGACGTCATTTCGAAATTTACATTTTTATTATTAATCGATTTTTTGTTAACGCATGCTAGAAGCAGATAATATTCAAACTAAATGAACTTTCTTAATATTTTAAGCATCTTGAGCGAGCGTTTATGATTAAAAATTGTTTCCAGAATTCTTCGATAGTTGATCATTCAAACCTGTTTACTATTCTATGGGCTTTTGCTGCAAACTGAAATTAACAAATTTAAATTCAATTTCCTCGACTTGAAATCTTAGTTTCCTAGTTTCCTAAACGATCAGCCACCCAATTTCACTCTATAAAATGTTTCAAGATATGTTTTGCTGGAATATTTACCCCCTGAGGGGAAACTTTAAATGACGAATCGATTTGCATCGATTTCTCGTTCTCAATTTTAAGTTGATGATGTCAGTTTTGCTTTGTAAGATCTTAGTTGAGATTCAGCCTGTGATATTTTAATCGTGGTATTCATATCATATTATATATATAATATATATATAAATATCAAATCCTTCGACTGCATTTTCTCCCCAACAGATCCAAAATGCAACTACGAACTACCTGCGTACGACGCAGCAACATGTGATCCGTTTTTTTACAATTTCAACAAGTGCGTGTTGAAATCAAAGGGTCTGGTGAGTATTGTTTATTATAACAGTTACTTGAGCACTGAGTGCAGTACATAGTGCATTTACTTGAGCACTGAGTGCATGCAGTATATAGAGCAGTTACTTTTTTATTCTACTAGTTATTTCCAAAGCCTCCTTTCCTCAACAGCTGAAGCCTAACAACACATTGGACGATGTGGCCTTGCAGAAGGTTTTCTTGCAGAACAAATGCAGCAATGACGCCAACTTCGCTAAAGCTTACCCGACATGCAAGAGCTCCACCATGCAGCGTTTGAACGTGAGTCATGAAAAATGTGTGTTTACTATCTAAACAAACTCGTGGAAAATGTTTTTTGTTATAAATGTTACACATATTATTAAAAATATAGAAATTAGCTACCACAAAAAAGATAATTTAATTAAGCACTGTAATGGATCATGATTCCCGGAAATATAGCCAGCTTATAACTTGCATAATTCTAAAAGCTCATGACATATGTTCTGTTCGGCAGTTTCTCCGGCTCGAGCAGTGTCTTCTTAAGGACTTTAAAAGATTATGACATATGTTCTGTTCTGCAGTTTCTCCGGCTCTTGGTGTGTCTCCATAAAGCCGTGCCCTAATCAGCTCACTCAATGGAGGAAAACCTACTGACGCGAAGCAAGGCTGACTAAACTCGCCCCCACTCTTTTGGGATTTTGCAGGGATTTTTTTGAGGACTTTTGGGATTATTTTTGGTAATCGGGATTTTCTTATTTCTTTATTAAATTTGCTGGTGTATCTTCAATAATAAATTAATTATCCTTATAATGAGACGTTATGCGAATATCATCCATGCAGAATATTTCACGGGAAGTTTATACAATCTAGAGATATTTGAACTAGGTTATTTAGACAGCAAACTTAGATTGATACAGAGACGAAATTTGAATTATGTCAACTTAATTACATTATGTGTGCAATATCACCAATAGATTAGTTGATTTTAATATATGGGATTAACTAAACTCACGTATCAAAGATACCAGTCGCATCACCTCCAATTAAAGGAAGGATTGGTGCCTCGTCACGACCACCATAAGTCCGGATGCGTGTAGTACCAGCGCCCCAATGGGCTATTAGAGAAATGCTTAAGGTGAAGCGGGATATTAAATGATTATGAACGGTTGAAGACTGTCTTTTAACAAAGCCAATACCTATTAAAATAGTATAACGTAATGGTAGCGGAACTAACTAAAAGGCAGCCCAGTGTTAACAGTTCAGAGGACTAGGATTGGAACAGTGAATTATGGGTTCGATCCCAGCTTCTTGCGGCAGTTTTGGTCAAATCGCCCGTGAGGCCGGGCGGTTAAGCGACGCAAAATTGAAGCTGTGAGTTGCGTGTTTGAGATCCGCAACAAGCTGTGAATATTCTGCGAGGTTGAGAATCGGTGTCACGTCTATTGGACTAATCAACCCTAAGACCACTACGCTATACTACTATACTAATATTCGTCACTTGAATTGAGTATTGATGTGATATTACTTATACATTGCTTTGATAATATTGAATAAAACTCTTTTTTTATAAGCGCCGCAATCCCCCTCTCAATAGATTTTCAATCTTTTTTTGGTATCGAAATGTTGCCCTATATCTCTTCAAGCTCAACTGTATCTGCGGTCCCTCAAGCTATAACGTCCATCATTGTCACAATACATTCTTCCGCTGTATTCTCCCACAACACACAATCTCTCTAACCAAGCGGCTCTCCAGCGACCATCACCCAGTGGAGAAAATATGATTTCTGGTACTCAATGGTTTAATTTTCAGCAATGGAAGAATAATAACCAGTAATATTGAGGCACCACTCACCTCGTCAGTCCCCTTGAAGAAGAGGGATTGCTAAAGGTGGTTGAGATGGATTTAGAAGTTACAAACGGCCGTCCCTCTTCCCTAATTAAATAATGTAAATAAGTACTATATAGGTTGGAGTAAAGAGAGTGAAGATTTGAAGTTTATTGATGGATTGAAGAATAACGGCGTCGACCAACACCTATATAGGGTAGGTTGTTAGAATATCAATATTGCCATTCGTTGACATAAAATTTGACTAGAGCAGGCAAAGACCTTAGACGAACTTGTGCCCCATAAAATGCTACCTGCGATGAATCGTTCCCTGACATGTGTATAGTTAGTGCCTTGAAGATAGCTCCGTCTTTGAACATGTACAAGTAAGCACCGTAGTTAGGTCGGGTATCAATGTGACAGCATCCCCACGCTGCGCGCACCGTACCTGTCTAGTGCTAAAAAAAGTCCCCTCATCATGTAGTAGAAATGAAAACTTGGGCGTCCATTTTATTTCTCTCTTGTATTAACAATCCTCGTGTGGTGCAATAAGCAGAAATTTGACAGCATTTCAGGTCACCTGATATTACTTCTGCAACCGATATCACTGCAGTCAGTGCCGTAGAACTTGACTGTCCACCCGATTCCTCCTGGAACCTCGACAGCTTTGCGGGAAAAGTTACAGTCGGATTTTGCTGCATTCAACATTTACCTGCAACAAAATGGATTTCATCAGTTTTGATCAGTGAACCTGTGACCAGTAATACGAGCTTACAGACGTGCTCAAGTTTTACTGACTCTGTCATCTCGATCAGTTCCAAAATATCAGCAAATTTAATATAGTAGGAAAATTAGGTTTATCGAGATTTTTTTACGGTGGCACATTTATGCATAACTCAGAGACAAAAAGTAAATTTCAGATCATAATCACAACGTTTAACTAGAATTGAGTGAATTGACAACGGAGGCAATAGGCAAGCGTGCCTTTCGATAGCAATGCAGTAAGTTAGGCTGGTTAGGCTGGAGATAAGTCCTTGAACGAAAAGCAGCATTTCATGACTTGCAGTAACCAAAACTTCCCATTGACAGTTGAGCATGAGAGAAGTTGCGCATTGCTAAATCGAGAGAAGCGAGGGTGAAAAGCGGAGTTCCGCAGGGCTCAGTGCTTGGACCGATCCTCTTCCTCATCCACATTGCCGATATTGACTCGGAACTCACCCACGCATCTGCATCGTCATTTGCGAACGATACAAGAGAGCTGATGAAGATCACAGATGACGTAGAGTGCGAGAGGTTACAGGATGATCTATCGTCAATCTACGATTGGGCCCTAGTGAACAATATGCAGTTCAACGGCACCAAGTTCGAAGTAATGAAATACAGAGTCCGCACAGAGATCGGGATGCCACATCGCTACTTGGCATCAGATAGCACAGAAATTGAGGAGAAGCAACTTGTTCGAGATCTCGGAGTGTTGATGAGTACTGAAGCCACGTTCGATGCCCATATCGAGGAAATAGTCGCGCGCAGCCGGCAACGGATGGGGTGGATATTGCGGACATTTCGAACGAGAGAAGCAGCACCAATGATTACACCCTTCAGAGCCCTCGTGCTCCCCAATCTAGAGTATTGCTGCCAACTTTGGTCGCCACTCAAGGCAGGTGCGGTGCAGAAACTAGAGGCAGTGCAGCGGACCTTCACGTACAGGATCAGCGGCATGAGGGAGCTTAACCTCAATTACTGGGAAAGACTGAAATACTTGGGACTGTACTCACTGGAGAGGAGATGAGAAAGGTATATAATACTGTACACTTGGAAGATGATAACCGGACTGGCTCCCAATTTTGAGAGTGAGACCTCCAGAATAGTGACACGTTACAACGAAAGGAGGGGGAGACTGTTCAAGGTTCCCCCATTTAACAACCGAGACGCGGCCAGAGTACAGACTCTTCGTGAGGGATCACTGTCCGTGGTAGGACCGAGGCTATTTAATGCCTTGCCAAAAGCGCTGAGAGGAGGGGAGTTCACCCTTGCAACATTCAAGAGACGACTGGACAAGTGGTTGAGAAAGATCCCGGATTGTCCAGTAATGGGAAACTACCCTCAGCAAGTGACAAGCAACAGCATCTTGCATCAGCTGACCCAAAGAAGGGCAAATAGACGGAACACGTCCAACGTTACATCAGGGTTACGTGGGCGGGGTGAACTGCCTAGCGACGACTAGGAGACGGAGGATGACGAAGGTGGCGCATAAGCGTGACCGTGGACTAAGAAGTCCTAAACTCATCATAAGGTCAGGAGACCTCAAACAGTATGAAAATGTAAATATATTAAATTCTGACGTTTTTTCTGTTCCTTACCTCCAATATTTATCCGAAATTAACCGAATTCTTTCGTGTTCACTGCACCCCACATTCTCGGTACTTCATGCACCTTTGTAGAGCGAAGACTGCCGCGCATACGTGGCAGTGTTCGCTGCCGCGCATGCACCGGGCAGTTAGGTACTTGCATTTGAAAGGCATGGGAGTTCTGCAATACGTTCAGTCGTATTTGTTACCGTTTGGCGTCCATTTGGTATTTCTATTTGATGTAAATTTATTTTTATTTATACTTTCAGATTATTCGCTGATTTCGCTTTTTTCGTCGAATTTATGTTAATTAACTGAATACAAAAGAAACTGGATGGAACTAGTTCCACATATACTGGCGACATGGATTCGCTGTAGTATAAAGTAGAATAGAACTGTCGAAAATAAAAAAAAATGTAGCAAATAAAATCATGTAAACCTCATAATTTCAGAGAAATTAAATAAGTGAATAATTCAATCAGTTTCTTCCGGTACAAGCTCCACATGAAGATTCATGCCTAGAAGGTTTTTTCGATATTCCTCCGCTTTCCTCACCCTTCACCCCCTTCCTCTCCCTGCCTCTTCAACGCTTGAACCGTTACCGCCGGCATATTCGACGTAGGCCACGGTAGTGATTCGGCCAGTTGTCTGCCGCAGCTTTTACCGACCGAGGCCTCGCGCTGTTCGAGGCAGATGAGGCCATATCGTCGCTAGACTGCTTAGACGCGAGGTAAAGTCGGCAAAAACTGCCTACATTTGGGCGTTTGCGAACGTCTCTGCGGCGAACGGACGCAATCACTGCGAGAATTTCGAACTGGGCTGTTGGCTGCCTTGTGGAATGGGTCTGGTAAAGCAAGTGTGTTTTTTCTGCCATATTGATATATGGTAAATGCATATCTCGGTTGGTTTCTAATTATGGTCATATAAAGAAGAAAATTGGTTAAGTGGCAGCTGATTCCCAGATCCCAACAATTTTCATCGCATTTTAATAGAAAAATGAACGATAAATTACCAGGAAAAACGATTAGCCTCCAATGCCACTGACCCGGAGTATTTCCTTCAGTGCATCTCAACAGAAAGATAGGCTTCAATGCTTTGAAAAGACTCGTTGCCATAAAGTGTCTGGCCACACACACAACCTTCAACGTATCAACGCATGTGACCACACGCCAACCTTCACCCCATCTTGACCACACATACAACCTTCAACGCATCTGACCACACGTCAACCTTCAAACCCATGTGACCACACTCCAACTTTCGACGCATCTGACCATACGCCAACCTTCAACGCATCTGACCACACTCACAACTTTCTACACATCAGGCCGCACTCACTACCTTCGACGTATCTGACCAAATTTTCAGCCTTCTACGTATCTGACCAAATTTTTAACCTCCTAATTTTTCCTACCAAACGCACAATATTTTACGTGTATGACCAATCTTTCAGCCTCCAACATATCTGGCAGACGCAGAAGCTCCACCGTATCTGACCAACGTATCAGGCGATTCATCAAAGCGCTCAAATTCATTTCTAATTCACTCCGGCTAACATTGCCAAACAATGTAAGGCACAGACGATCGGATTCAATTATTTACATCATAGATGAATTCCGCGAGTGTGAAATATTCAAATATATTCGATGCTTTTCTTGCAGGTTGGAGACTTTTTGATATTTATTTTCAGATGAGAGTTGTTAGGCACAAACGTCGAGACTGCCTTCTAGATTAATTAACCTCGCTTACTATAGCGAGTTTACATGCACGAATTCGTTTTGGTCAAGTCACGCAAGTA